CTTCTCAGGCCAGCAATGACCACGTGCCTAACTGGCAGGAACTCGAAGCACCGCTTTTCAGCTTGCGCGCAATGGGTCGCATGGTTGATCCGGAGGAGAACACCGTTCTGACTCAGGTCATTCCCTTGATCGTGCAGATTCCCAACCAGGAGAAGGTTCGGTTCCAGGCCATCATGGCGCTTGCACGCTACACGGAATGGACCGCGCAACACCCGGAGACACTCGAGGCGCAGCTCAACTACGTCATTTCCGGCTTCCAGCACAGCTCCCCGGAAGTCGTCCAGGCTTCGGCTTTGGCGTTCAAGTTCCTCGGAACCGATTGCCAGAAGCTCTTGGGTGGCCACATCGCACAACTCCATTCATTCTACGAGTCGGTGCTTGATAAGCTGAAGCCGGCCAGCCAAGAGGAAGTTACCGAGGGTGTGGCAGCTGTCGTTGCCGTACAGCCCATCGACAAAATTTACGAAACCATGAAGTTGTTCTGCGACCCCATTATGAACCGCATCATGGCCCTGGCCAACAACGCCAAGGACGAACAAGGCCAGCGCGCCGTGGCTGGTACGTTTCTTATTCTTGCGTCGATCCTCTAAGTACCATAGAGTATATCACTAATGATATCACAGATCACCTTCAGCTCATAACGATCTTCGTGTTGGTCGTCAACCCCTACGTTTCTCGGGGAGAGGAGAACCCGGCCGTCAAATACTGTGGCGAGATCCTCCCGATCATGACGACTATTGCCTTGAACTTTACCGAATCGACCCCGATCTTGGAACGTGTGTGCCGTTGCTGGAGGAACATGATCATCTCTTACCGAACTGCCATGACGCCTCTTCTCCCTACGCTCGCCGATAGCCTTGCCAATGGATTCCAGGCGTCGCGCGAAGGGTGCTTCTTGTGGGCCACCGACGCCGTTGTGCGCGAGTTTTCCGAGGGGGTCGAGTTTGTCGACCCCGCAACAAGCAACGCGGTCTTCCGGTTCTACGAACAGCAGGCCACTGCCTTCCTCCGCACTCTCAACGACCTTCCGCCGGAGAACCTTCCCGATGGTAAATTTCTCCTTTCTTCTCTGTTTTTTCAACCTCATGCGGCAAACGTGTTAACGAAACATTAGTGATCGAGGACTTCTACCGGCTCTCGTCGGATGCCGTTCGCTACTACCCCAAGGAATGTATCTCGTCGCCGCTTTCAGTTCCGATCTTTACCGCAGCTCTCAGTGGTCTTACCCTGCAGCAGGTGGATCCGCTCATGGCTATTCTGCACTACTACCATGATCTCTTCAGCTTTGCGTTCGAGAGGCCCGCGATATCCGAGTTCACCAGCTCCAATGGAGATCCCTACACAACTCCCCCAGAGGTTCGCGGGGCAGTTAAGCAATTGATCGCGTCTCAGGGTCAGCCACTGGCTGAGCGTATCATCACGGGAATGATGTTTTCTTTCCCAGGAGATTGTTTCCCTGATGCCTCCGGCGTGATGATGTCGCTGTTCGAGTTGATGCCTCAGGAAGCTGGACTCTGGTTACAGTCAACCCTACAGATGCTCCCGCCCGGCACGATGAAGCCCAACGAGGCGGAGCGGCTGCTGAAGGGTATCTCTGATAAGGTACAATCGGGTGAACTTCGAAAAATTCGCGTTCTGCTACAAGGTATGTTAGCCTTCGAGGATGATACGGGTGCGATGGGTGCTAACCAAACTACCCCAGACTTCACCAATTCGTACCGACGGAGAAATGTCGCCCCCAGAGAGGGGTTAGGTCGACTGGAGGCCACCCGATTCCGGTTCAGCGGATAATAGGAGCGAAAGGAGACGAGACGAAGGGAAGATGGACTAGGTGCAACCGTTCAGCTTGAAGAGTTGGAAACTCCATTATCCAGCCTACAGACATTCAACGACACGCCCACACGTATCAAATATCTTAGCGGCACGTCATAAGAAGCCCGGGCGAGAAAGCACAACTGAAAGCGTGATGCGCTTTTTCTAAAAAGGCAGATGTTTCAAATTCTAAAAATCATCAATATTTCTCCCCCCGAAAAAGAAGAAAAAGACACATCCCACTCGCACAACCTTACCCCCTCCCTGTATACAATCTTGCGTTGTGGGTATTTGAAAGAAGACGGAAAATAGCCTTGCATGGGAGATGCATATCTTCAGTCACCCAGGGGCTTTGTCGATATGGTCGACAGTTCGGAGGACATTTGTAATAAAGTACTTTTTATTTAGTTAGGGATACTAGAGTGGATTTATAATAAATGACCTTTACTGTTCTGTTTTCCTGGTAGTTAGGGTAAGGCTGGGTCTTTGCGAACTGATTTTCAGTTTTTGATGTGAAAATGCTTGAATGCCTGAGGTTGCAATCTGCCAAGCATTTCGCGTTTGTTTACCCCCTCCAAGACCATTTCATACCTAAAAACTTTCCTTCCACTTCAATCATTTATAGAATTATTTCAATTCCAGGGTCTTATACATTTCGTCATCATGACCGCCATTTCCTTTTTCCATAAAGTTTCCATATACTGGCTTGTATTCTCTGAGACGTTGATCAGACAAATATATATCCTGCCCTGCCTTGTCCAACCTATTCCGGCATATTCCGACGTGATGTTGTCCAAGGATGGAGAGGCATCTAAGCCTGCACAGTACCTACAACCCATCTAACTAAGTTGTTAATGAATATATTTCTATGAACGTATACCCAGTCACTAATAGATCTTTCTAATATATTTTTGCAAATCTTGGAACGGGATGGCTGCTAAGTATGATATGCAGGGTTGCTTTAGGGCAACATTATCTCCGTCCTGTGGGGGCATTTGGCCTATAACATAATCCTGGATCGAGGATGGAATTCTTAATAATAGATCATGCTAAGGTCTGCTGATAGGCTATGCATTGAAGTGGATTTGTAACGCAGGGGTTCTTTAGATAGGAGAGTGCATGGAAGGCTTGGGATAGCGTGTAGATCCGGTTCAGGTCTTATATAAGATATCAAGTCCTGGGATAGCTTCTAATATGTCCGCATATTGTTGATGAAAATAGAGGCAATGAAACTGATGACATGCATTTGACAACGGAGTACTCCGTACCTATTCATGGAAGAGGAACTGCCATGAACGATGATCCCAACTTGGATTGAAGCGTTATTTACTTACTTTGCCAGTCAAACCACCTCACTACCAATCAGCGCCCGTCCTCCAGCTTCGTGCTTCACGCAGACCTACCATACGCCCGCTAATATTGCCACCCAATCCTTCGAAACCTTCTAGAAGATCAGGAAATTACACGGAAGAAACTAATCCAAGCCCTCAGCCCAGAGTCCAAGAGCTCTTAGCTCGGCAGAGTTTTCTCTTAGCTGGTTTCCCTGCAGTCTTGAGACCCTCGATGCGTTCTCTGCTCGTGTGACCACGCCACAAGAAACCGTCTGGATCGTAAGAGATCGATCGTCGTTGCCTCGAGTCATTTCAGCCCGGACTAAGGTATCTGTATGGACTGAACGGTCGACTCGCACGCTGTTGGCTAAGGCGAGAGAATTTTCTCATGATGCCTATTATTGGCGAACACCATAGGGGATGATCGTTCTGGAAAGGGCCCAGATCATGAGCCTTGCCCTGGTGGCACCGGATAGGGTTACATTTTGGGGGCTTCGGGTTACCCGATCTTAGTAGCTAGTAGGTGCTTATAAGTGAGACTTGACGGGCATGTCGGCCCCTGCAGTTGCGATTTGTTGGTTGCTTTTACCAATAGGAAGAGCAATCTTTCGACCTCTGGATTGCCACGGCGAGGGCGAGCATAGGATTGACATTCCAAACACCGGGATGCAGTTGCCACAGACTCCCCGCCGAGAGGAGGCATTCTTCCGGTTTGATTTCTAACTACATACATAAACGATGTAGGCACGTGCGTCACGGTCTGCTCATTAACATTTCCGGTGGATAGGGCGCTTGGGTAGACGGGGATGTTTCACGATGCGAGTCAAATCGCGGCATGCCGTTGTGACCAACCTGACTCCGCTGTTACCTAGGTCAGGGCCACATGGTGGAGGGTCGGACAACGTGCTAGGTGGCGACTGGCGAGGAGTGCATCGGAGGAAGATCAGGTTCGGAGAAAAGCGAGTTACCCTGCAGCATGTACGGCATGGCACTGCATGTAATGTGTATACGCAGGATAGTGATCAAGAGTAGTAGCGCGCTAGGGGATTTAATTAACTGAATGGGGGTGGAGTGAGTTGGGTTGTGGTGTCATATTATCATTCACGATGTTTCCATTTGGGGGAAACTGGCCGTAGCTGCCTAGCACATGGCAACGAAAAGGGTGCTGATTGACGGAGGGGAGAGGAAGAGTAGTAGTGACATCGTGAACCGTGGACAGTCCGCCCGAGAAAGGCGCCCTCGAGGCAGGGCTTCTCCACCCACGTGCGGGCAGGCGGGCCTCCCATAGGATCCGCAGCCTGAGGCAGTCCCTGACGCCAAGGCCCAGCCGCGACGTGCCAAGACGCCGTATTCTTGACTCCCCATCCAAGCTCACCTCCCAAGTATACCAAGTTCTCTTGTCCGTGCTTATGTCGGGTCCCTCTCAGCCACTGACAAAGAGGTAGTTGATTGCTGCCAACCATGGTGGGCGAACAGGGCCCCCCGGTGGCCCGTGGACCACAAATCACAGCCATGGGATTTGGAACGTGGGAGCCATTCTACCTGGACGGGCTAATGGGCTCGTGTCACCCGGTGCCTGTAGGCCTGTAGTAGCTACAAACTCCGGTGTAAGTATAGTACTTCTAGATCTGGACCAAGAACGAGTGCTGCTGCTGAGACTTCCGACAGGCAGACCCCCGGTACAGGTCTTGGACGTGATCTTGCCACGGACTAGCAGGCTGATAGTACATAAGTCCGCTCTCTCGCTGGCTTTCGGTTCTCTTTCTTCTTTGTTTTTCTCTTCACAGCGCTCATTCGATCCTGCAAATCATTACCATCATCGACTAGGTCTTTACCTGTCTGTCACTTGTCATCAAGATGGTGCTCCATCAGTACGACTATGTGTTCGCCATCGGCACTCTGTTTGCCATGCTGGATGCCTACAACAACGGTGCAAGTAAGTCTTGGTCTTGTTGACTTCATTCGATGTCTCTCACGGATGCTATGAGCAAAGACTGACTGACTGGTCTCCTGATAGACGATGTTGCCAACTCCTGGGCCACTAGTGTTTCCTCCCGATCCGTCACCTACAGACAGGCCATGGTCCTTGGAACGGTGTTTGAGATGGTTGGAGCCATCGCTGTCGGTGCTCGAACTGCCGATACCATCAAGAACGGTATCATCCCGAACTCGGCTTTCCGGGGAGATGCCGGCGTCCAGATGCTGGCGTTTACCTGTGCTCTCGTTGCCGCCTCGTCTTGGGTGATGTGGTGTACCCGAAACTCCGCTCACGTCTCTTCCACATACTCCCTCATCTCGGCCGTTGCTGGTGTTGGTGTTGCCACGGTTGGTGCCTCGCAGGTGCAATGGGGATGGAACGATGGTAAGGGTCTCGGAGCCATCTTCGCCGGACTGGGCATGGCACCGGTCATCTCCGGAGCATTCGGCGCTATCATCTTCATGCTCATCAAGGTCACCGTCCACATGCGGAAGAACCCGATCCCGTGGGCTGTCTATACCTCACCTTTCTTCTTCCTGGTCGCCGCTACCATCTGCACCCTGTCCATTGTCTACAAGGGTTCTCCCAGCCTAGGTCTGAGCAAGAAGCCTGGCTGGTACATTGCCGCTGTCACCATGGGTTGTGGAGGCGGTGTTGCTGTCCTGTCGGCCATCTTCTTTGTTCCATTCTTGCATGCCCGAATCATCAAGAGAGATCAATCTATCAAGTGGTGGATGTTCGCTGAGGGTCCCCTCCTTTTGCAACGTCCCCCCGTTGAACAAGCCGACGTGGCTAAGGTTCCCGACTACGCCGTTGTCCATGACGATGATTACCCTCCTTCGAACGGATCTTCCAACATCGACAAGACCGCATCCCCCGTCGCCTCGACGGTCGCCTCGCCCGCCATCACCGCCACCGACGCAGACAACGAGAAGGGTCTCGTCGCCGCCGAGGCCAAGCAGCTCAGCTACAAGGAACTGCAGGCCCAGAGCCAGGACCGATTGAACCAGAGACTCCTGCAGAGCCGAGGCCCCATTGGCTGGGCCATGCGCACCCTCCGCGACAACCCCATGGGCCCCGGCGAGCTCTACGAGTGGCGCAACATGGTCATTCTCGCCAAACGCATTCCCGCCCTGATCACCGCCGGTCTCCTGTACGGTATGCACTACGACATCCACAACGCGCAGTCCGGTATCGCCGGTACCCCCGAAGGTGCGCGCATGAAGCGCGTGTACGCCCACGCCGAGAAATACCCCAACGAAGTCGAACACACCTACTCCTTCATCCAGGTCCTGACAGCCTGCACCGCCTCATTCGCCCACGGCGCCAACGACATCGGTAACTCCGTCGGGCCCTGGGCCGTGATCTACTCCGCCTGGAAGACCGGCGACGCCGCCGCCGCCAAGGCCCCCGTGCCTGTCTGGCAGCTCGCTGTCCTGGCCGCTATGATCTCCATCGGTCTGATCACCTACGGCTACAACATCATGAAGGTTATGGGTAACAAGATCACCTACCACTCGCCCAGCCGCGGTAGTTCCATGGAAATGGGCGCCGCTATCACCGTCCTGGTCTTCTCGCAGTACTCCCTTCCCGTGTCCACTTCTATGTGTATCACCGGCGCCACTGTCGGCGTGGGTCTCTGCAACGGAACCATCAAGGCTGTCAACTTCCAGCGAGTCGGGCTGCTGCTGCTTTCGTGGATCATGACGATCCCTATTGCCGGTACTCTGGGTGGCATCTTGATGGGGCTGTTCATCAATGCTCCTCACTTTACTTCTTAGATGGGGCTCTCATGACCCTATTCTCTTCTCTTTTGTTTATGATCCTGGGGGCGGTTGCATGTACATATTAGTTTTTAATCACCATTTTCAGGTTGTTGGTAAAATGGGGGAGATGGTGGATGGTTTGTGATTTTATGATTTGCTGAAGATACCTTAATTTCGAATTCATTAGATTGTCTGTGTCTTTTATTTTTATCATACAAGGCATACATTGATAGGAATGATCATTCTCAAAGGAATATCATCTGAATCATCTGATCCTACTCAAAGTATTTACGAACAGACCTATCGTGTACCCTTGAACACAGCACCAACCATCCAAACGCCAAAAGCTCCTTACCAAAAGAAAAGAAATCGCGAAAACCAAAATCCTCATTAATATCTAAACAACCTTACTCCCCCTCCCTCCTTCACCAGCCCCCTATTCCTCCTCCCATAATAAACCCTAAGCCCCAAGCACGCCGTCGCAGCCAGGAAACAAAACGCCGCGTTCGTGCCATGTCCCGTCGGATACCCCCGTTCGGCTTCCTCGGCCTTATAGATCCACACCCCGATGATCTGTCCGGGGGCGCCGCCTAGCCCGATGTTCAGCGCGATGGCGAGGCCCACGGCCGAGGTGCCCGCGATATTCGAGGACAGCCAGCCGAGCAGGGGCGGGATGCATGAGAAAGCGCCCATGTTAGCGATGAAAAGACAGGCGTAGCGCGCCGAGTAGCTGTGGGCTGGGAGGAGCGCGGAGGCGAGGAATCCGGCGCCGCCGACGAGTGAGCATAGAGCGGAATGTAGGGCTCGGGCGTTGAAGTGGTCGGCGGAAAAGGAGATTAGGATTTGGATGACTGGGGTTCAAATGAGTTTGGTTTTGATTGTGGAGATGATCAGGGTGTGACATACCGTAGGCGACTGCGTAAGGAGGGACGGTCATCAGTTGTGCGTCAAGGTCTTTATATCCTAGTCCTTCGATGATTGAGGGCGTGAAGAGAGACAGCGAGCTAAACGGACAGGAGATGGCCAAGTAGACGAGGTAATGGCCGTAGAGGCGCCAGTCCGTCAGGGTTGCTTTGGCGTCCTCCCAGGTGATGCTGCTATGACTGCCCTTGCTGCCTTCGACGCGGAGACGCTCGGCAGCGACGGCTTTCTCCTCTGCTGATAGCCATCCCGAAGTTTCAGGGTAATCGGGGAGAATGAACCAGACGGCGAACCCCGAGACTACGGACGGGATACCCTCGAGGTAGAACAACCATCGCCAGCCCGACACATCGCTGACTTGATTCATATGTCCGACGCCGTAAGCAATTGCGCCGCCAAACGCACCTGCCAGCGTCGCGCTGGCCAAAATCAGCGCGACACGCATACTGCGCTCGTCGGTCTTGTACCAGAATGTGAGATAGTACACCAACCCGGGGAAGAGGCCCGCCTCGAAGATCCCCAGGAGGAAGCGCACGGCGATGACGGTGGCTGGGTTCTTGGACGCGCCGAGGGAGATGGTAAGCGCGCCCCAGGACACCATGAGGAATGAGATCCACTTGGATGGGTGGAGTTTCTTGAGGAGGATGTTCGACGGGGCCTCGAAGACACCGTAGGCCACCAGGAATATCATCAGGCCAATGGTGTACTGGTAATTGGACATGCCAGTCTGAGTCATGAGGTCGTTGCCTGTGGACGAGTTCATGATTTTGGCGTTGCCGATATTAGACCGGTCGAGGTAGCAGAGGAAGTATATGAATGCCGATAGGGGAAGGATTCGGAGATCCTGTTTTCGCACCACGGCCTTGGAGGCGGCCGGTGAAATGGCATTGTGATCTGATGGAAGGGGAGCCTGTTGTTGAGGTTAGTATTCTGAGATTGGTTTATATTGGAGCGAGTTACTGACTGCATGCTCGTCTTCTGAAGCTGCGCGAATGACCCCCATTTCTGCTGCGTTCATATCGTGCTTTTCACCTGCCATCGTTGACATGTTGACTGGGCGGGGTGAAGGTGAAGCATGGAGTCTATCTGCCGGACACCCCTTTTTTGAAGCAATCAACTCCACTTTATCCCTTCCATTGAGTCCGGGGTAGCCCCGGATCTGGGGAAGGAGGCGTGGAGAGAAACAGCATCGGGTTTTTGGTCGGTCGTCGGCGCCGCAGTCCGAGAGATGCATGAGCAGTCACGTGGCGCTGTACCTATCTCTTCTTGTCTTGTCTTGTCTTCCTTTTTTCCTCCTCCACTTTCGCCATTCCGGGGCAAGGGCAACGAAATCCAGTGGCAAATTTCAGCAGGAACGGCCTTGGTTCAGTCACCGGTCCCGAGCTAATGGAAGCTATGATAAAATCTGCATAGATTACTGGATTAGACGGTGACCCCGTCTTTCCTAAATGGATCCTTCGCTCTCCACGTTCTCCACCCGAAGTCATGGCCTTTGCGGGGTTGTGCCGTCGAGCGCGGACTTCGACGCCGAGTGTCGGACTGAATAAAAGGAGCGGACTGCATCGCCGACGCAAGCCTGCCACCTACACCTGTTAGACACGCGGATCATAATGCATTCAACTGCGTGTCTGCGATGTCATCGGAGAAAGGTCCGATGCGACAAGTCTCTCCCACAGTGCTCCGCATGCACAAGAGCCAGAGTGACATGCCAATACACGACCAGTGATCACCAGCACCGCCGTCAGCACATTCAGAGGCTGGAGCAGCGAATTCGGCAACTGGAGGCCGACAATCAATCCCTATCTACTCGGTTAGAGAGCAGTCAGGATATACTCGTGGCAAACGGTGATCCTGGATCTGCAGTCCCGTCACATCACGAAGGGACTGTTGGGTCTAGAGATGATGAAGTGGCGGAGCAAGTACTCCATACTTCTCTGGTTGCTGGAGGAGGTCATCACTTCGTCGGTTCGACGAGCGGTCTGCTGCTCGCAACCCTGCTCCAGTCCGGCAACCCGTCGTCATCCCTTTTCCCGATTCCCACAGGCCAAACGGGCTCAGAGTTAGAGCGAACTCGCCATTCCTCTTATACAGAATCTAATAGACCGCCAAAAGGACTGGCCAAAGACTTGTTGCGAGCGTATTGCGGCCATGATCACCTCTGTTATCCTTTTATCTCGACAAAATCTCTCTTTCGGTCCTTGGATGCAGTGTATGATGTGAGTGATGACGAGGACCCTGTCGACGCTTTCTTCGTCGACATGACGCTTGCAATCGGAACCGCCCAAGCACATCGCCTAAACTGGAACGGTAACTATGATTCCGAAGCATATTTTCATCGCGCCATGACAAGGTTGATCGATGTGCTTTCTCGAGGCGGTGTCGAACGGCTGCAAGCGCTTTTGTTAATTTGCCAATACAAGATGGGCTCTACTTCTAGCAGCACTACTCCGAGTGTGTGGCATCTTATCGGCGTAGCGGCGAGAACCTGTTTAGAGATGGGCCTTCACCGAGCATCGACCTATTCGTTACCTTCTGTGCCGACGGAGTCGACAGATAATAACGATAGTACCTGGCAAGCAAAAGTCGAGGCAATGGAAATAAAAAAGAAGTGCTTCTGGAGCTTGGTGGCCTTAGACAGAGTTGTGAGTCTGGCTCTCGGGCGCCCTTTCGCAATACAATTGGAGGACATCGATGTAGACCTCAATGACGACCACGAATTTACTAGTCATGCCCAACAAGAGGCAAACTCACCCCCTACACTAAGCGGATCCCCCAACAATGATCAGATTAGGACGTCCTTGTTTGTGTACATTGTGCGATACCGGCTCATATGTGGGAGAATATCCAACTCACTGCATCGAGCCTCGAAGTCAAAAGGAGATTCTACTGATTTAGTGCGTGCAAGAGACTGCTTAGCCCTGGAGCTGCAGGATTTGTATGTTCAAACAGAAAAATTGCCGCTTTTAACCAGGAACGATCAAGCATTCCATGAGCTTGGAGCCGAAGGAGGGTCAAGCTTCCTTTCCAAGGAATGGTATCGACTGTTGTACCACAATGGTATGTTGATGTTGTACCGTCCATCGCCATACCTCTGTGATACTTCCCATAATAGTGTCGCGTTGCAACATCTCTTCCGCTCCTCTCGCGAAGCGATCCATCTATATTCTAACCTGCATCGGTCTAGAAAGCTCAATTATTCCTGGATCACCATGCACACCATATTCCTAGCGGGATTGTCATACATATACGCCCTTCGAACCCATTTCCAAACTATTCATTCGCAAGCCACCCGGCCAATGTTAGCCAGCACGCCAACGATCACCGAAGTGGTGAACGATACCCGGACTTGCTCCAAGGTGCTGCTTGCAGTCGCCGAGAGACAAGATATTGCACGGAACTGTTCAGAGCTTTTTGATCGACTCAGTGATGCGCTCATTGCAGACGTGTTTGCGGCTCAGAGAGGTCCTTCAACGGGGGTTCCTGTATCCACCCCGGCGCCGAATTTCGCGACCGAGACGTGCTCCTTGATGAATATGCCCGGAGAGAGTTTCTATAACCAAGTACCGGAGGAAAATTGCATGAATGTGAACATGGCCATCGATAGTACATTTCGGAATTACTTTGGTGATCTACAAAGTCTAGGGTTTGACGACTTGCACAACGACGCTCTTTCCCAGCTTTCCCAAGAATGGTTCATTGGGCTCGGCGAGGATCGAGGGGTTTTGGGCAGTCTTTGAACAATATCAAGTCTATCAATGAATTCACCCTGATCTATATACGCCGGTACTCTATACCCTCAATCTATTATATTTTGCCTCTGGATAAAAAAGCACTGGGCACCTCAATATGTTTACTGCGCAAGTATTCACCAAGGCCCTTTCCGAGGCCATCAATTCTGCCCGAGGATGCGATGCCGCCATCCAGATTGTTGAGTATTCGACTAGTAATCGACTTGTCAGTATTTCATGCGCACATGCTAAGGGGGAACCCACAAATGTAGTGCATTAATCTTAGGAAACTCCACTCGCTCGACTCGACGCTGAGGGTTGCCTCTAAACCAATCATCGCCTAGCAACTGTTTCAATCTGGAAACATTCAATACTGAACGAAGCCAGTCATACTCGTCCTCATGACGGACAAAGAATCCAATGTTGGAATTGTCGCCCTTGTCACCAGATCGGGCATGGGCAATACTCCCCAGAGGTGCAAGCTCGGTGGGCCCAAAGGCAAGGACGTCAACGGGATGAGCAGTATCCGATGAGGGCCAGACGACAGGGTATACGGAAGTGCCACACTCCGGTGGATCAATATGCAAGATATTCCCTGTGCTCATCTGCACACGATGGTCGATCTCGGAAATGGGGATCAGCCCGGGGAACATCTCCATGAACGGTCTGGGCGACATGGTTCGGAAATCGAGGTTCATGTGATAGCCAGGGTAGCTCTGCATCCTCAACGCGTAGATGGGCACTTTGAAATTTTTCTCGTCGATGTCTTCTTTCCGCCGAGCCTGCGCAAAAACCCTCAGTGAGACGGTACCGGACTGTTGCGATTGGGGATTTGAAGCTGCAGTGCCCAGCAGCTCAATGTTTAATTTGCTGAAGTTGCTGTCTTGGAAGATATGCGCCAATTGTGCCTCCATCATTGCGGCTTTCTCCTCCACGTCTAGACCGTTGATATAGAACGTCGCCTCGGCCTGGAAGCCGCCCTTCGCTGCAACCATGATCTTGGTGGTAGACGGCCGTGGCAGACCTTTCACGCCCTGCACCCTCACACGGTTCCCTTTCCCCGGCTGCTGCTCAACGGTGACATCCGACAAGTCCGCCACGACGTCTGGGTTCAAGTACAAATGGCCCTGCAGCTCATATAGTAGCTGCGCAGTCACCGTTTCCTTCGACACATGCCCTCCTCCCTCGCTCGTTTTTCCAATCACACAGCATCCAGATGCATCGATCTCGGCCACCGGAAACCCCAGATCAACAAGCCCCGGCATGAAATCCTTGAAGCCCGAGAAGTTCGCGCCAACAACATACGGCCCGCATTCAATCAGATGCGCAGCGACTAGCGATCCAGCCAGTTCGGCGTACTGCTCCTCCCCCCAGCCATGCCACCACGCCGCAGTGCCCATGACTGGCGAAGCATCAGTACATCTCCCACAGATGACAATCTGAGCCCCAGACCTCAGCGCCTCCACAATACCCCAGCACCCAATATACGCCGTCGCGCAGCACGGCTCAAAATCCCATTTCTCCAGCTTCATAGTCGGATCGTCCAAATGGACAATATTCCCTATTCCTTTCTCACTCTTGACCAACTCCGACAGATCATCCCCCAGAACCATTGCCACCACACAATCGCGGTACCCCCTTCTCTCGCACAGGTCTTTCACCTTTTCAAAGAGGGCGGCTGTATTCAGTGCCCCCGCATTCGTAACGACTTTCACGTCTTTCTGCATGATCCCATCTAAACACTCGTCCAGTTGCTCGAAGAACCCGTTCTCGTACCCTAGCTCGGCATCAATCTCTTGCTTTTCGATCGCGTTCCATGCGATGTTCATCTCCGAGAGCCAATCGCCCGTGATCACGTCGACGCTCCCGGAGCGGAGCATGCGCGACATCGCGTGCGGGTGGTCGCCTGTGGCGCCGGAGACGTTGCCGATTCGGATGGGAGTTTGGTGGTTAGGACGCATGGCTATCGAGTAGGTAGGTATATAGGACGGAGAATATGGAGGTTATAGAACCGAGGCTTTCAATCCGATCTTTTGCACATGAGTTAGAAAAGAACCAGTGGTATCTATGATGGGTAGGTAGAATAAACGGGATCACTTAGGCCAATACAATATTAATTGCTCCGCCTATATTCGGTGTCGGAGACCGAGTCCGACGAGACAGGATGCGCTGTCGGGGTTCCTTGACCGGCCATTAAACTAACAATATTGGCGATTCGCGATGTCCTCTCAGCAAAATTCTCCTTTTCTACTTGCCCTCCGCTTTTCTTTTCAGCATCCCGCAGAAACTCTCAAACAGGACCGAATCCGTCCCCTTAAGCCACCGCACCACGACACGGACTCCCTTGTCCTCAATCCCCTCTTTCTTCGCTTGGACCTTAAATCCCAGCGCCGCTTTGGCTTCGTCGATTTCTACCCTATGCGCCTGCCCGGTGGATCCCTGCATCTTCCTACGCGCTTGACGAGACCAGACATTCTCCATCGCGAATCCGACTCCCGTGCCTAGGTTCTTCCGCCAGAGCCACTGAACCGGAAGCGACGAAAGTTCTGTGTCCAGCTTTTCGCTGACGGCGTCGATCGACCCGGCAGGAATCTCAAAGACGTACTCAGAGGGAAACGGCAATAGGTGTTTCGGGAAGTTAGAGATTGACCGCGCAACGTTCTGGTTCCTTTGTTAACGTCATCCGTTCTTCGTAAAACCTCGCTGAGAACTAGACGCGGGACTTGGAATGACATACCACACTCGGACGAAGATCTGCCCATGACCAAGCGATCGCCCACCTCTTCGTTTTATTCCCCTGCACGAACTCAGTGACGGCGTAGTTGTGGTTTTTGAGCTCGATGAGCTTCTCAACCAGTACTGAGACGCTGCTCAGCTTTCCGAGCATCGACGTATACCAGACGACGCTTTCGCGGAGCTCGAGGCTTTCTTCGATCATGCGCGATACGAAGGCGACTTCACCTCCGCCGGTAACCATTTCGATCTCGGCACCTGTGCAAGCCTGGCTTTTTGTTATTTTGCTGATCTGACGGGAGGGGAGGGTAACTTTACTGAGAATGGAGGTCGCTCTTTTGCTTCTGCGGAAGATATCAATTCGTCTCGGGAGGCGTAGAATGGGGGGTTGCACATGGTGAAGTCGAGTCTGGATTTGTAGAGTCAGAATAGGCACGGTTCTAGAAATGGATTACGTACCTGTCGACCCCCAGACGGTCATGCAATGGGATCAGTCCATCGGCTGGGTCTGTTTTCACGATTCGAATCCGAGATTCCAGACCATTGTTCTTGACTGTCTCTTTGGATGAATGGATGTTGTCGTTGTCAATATCTGAAGTTTCCGTCAGTATAGGCCATCCGGTCCAGTCAGTCAGTATCCACTCACCTGTCGCTACGAAAGTCCACTGCGGCCGCGAACTGCAGCCAAGAAGTGGATAAATGCTGCAGCATCCCGTTCCTCTCCAGACACAAGTGAGATTATGATTATCTTATCTAGGGGGGCAGGTGGAGTACATATCCAAACCCACGACGTTTCGGTCGGGGTCATAGTCATCCCGGTATTCGTCCCCGGTGGTGTCCAATAAGTCTTGGATCCACAGGATATAATTTAGTCTATATTTTTTAGTTAGACCGGGGTCTGTGGACGCGAAATCTCCGACCCTACCTATTCGGCACCTACGCCCCGTTAGCCTGATCAATTGACGTAGACAGGGTTCTGGCAGACAACATACCGGCGGACAGAGTCTATTCTCTGGGATATCAACCTTCAAGTTAAAGTCTCGTTTCAATAGGCTCTTAGTCAATTGTCTACACGCATAATCAGTCACGCGACCTGCTGCTAACTTCGCATTCGCCGATCTGCGGGTTGCATCCTACCGAACAGCCTCCGGGTCGCTGAAGTCCAATTGGCCGTTTAATTTCACGCTATGCAAGGCCAGTGTCAGTCATACGGTACGGAATTCGTCGAGTGAAAAGCCAAGGATTCATGATCTTACAATTTCGCGAAATCGGGTGACTGCAGAGCCAGTGTCGTGAAATCAACGTCATCTTTGTAAATGTTTCGAGCTGACCTCATTGTGTTACCGAAGGTGTCATATCACAACCCTTGCCTAGTCTAATTTAGTCTCGATGTCAGACGACAAAGCGAATGAAAAGCGATAATCATAAATTAACCAAAAGAAAAAAACTGGCTCCGCAGACGGGAATGACGATATCAATATTAGAACGGAAACGCGGGACGTTGACCCATTGGGTTACGGTGGGTCAGTGGAAAGGGGTTCAAGGGCAGCAGGGGTATTAGTCCGTTCGATAGGTAGGCGTTCGGGGAAAGCTCACCCTATCAGAGAGATGATGATCCACTGTCAAGCGCGGAGGAGAAAGTAGGAAGATGAAAAGTAGAAAGGAAGACTGCGGACGCCTTTCTGGGCTGAGGATTGTCAGGCCCCAAGGCTGCCAGGGCGGATGATGTCATGCGGGCGACGACGCGTTTCGCTTCTCGCCGATCCCCCTCTCTGCCGTCTCTGCTCTCTTGTCTCTTCTCTTCTCTTCCCTCCGCTATGTCTATTTACGGACGGGGCTATTGAACTTCCCCCGTTTTATCTCTTATTCTTATCCTCTGAAGAGCGAATCAATTGACGGCCAAAATGGACAAGTTCAGGGACAAGTTCAGCTCGCTCGAGAAGCACTTTGAAGGTCAATTCGATTCCCCACAATGCTTGCAGACTGAACTGACCACGTTCCACCTGCATAGAAACCCACATCAAGGAAGAAGCCCATCATTTCAAACACAAAGTGGGCAAATTCTTCAACATCGTCAACCCCAATCATCGCCACGACGAGGAGCACGAGCAGGAAACCGACCGGAAGCGGACCGCAGTCGCTGAATCCCACCGATTCGGCTCTTTCGCGCCCATCCGAGAGAACAATCGCGTCAAGTGGTATGTCGATGCATTGGACTACCTGTGGGCCGTCTCCATTGCTCTCGAGAATGCCAAGGAGGTCATCTACATTGAAGACTGGTGGTTGTCGCCCGAGCTGTTCCTCCGGAGACCTCCGTTCTTGACGCAGGAATGGCGGCTGGATCAGGTGCTGAAGCGCCGCGCCGAGGCGGGCGTGAAGATCTACGTGATTGTGTACAAGGAGGTTAGAGAATTGGAATCGACCCCATTGCATTACTGGAAATCACTTACACGTGAACTTAGGTCAACCAAGCATTGACTTGCAACTCGGCCCATACCAAACATGCGCTACGCAATCTCTGCCCCGAAGGATCGCCAGGTTACGATAACATCAAAATTCTGCGCCACCCGGATCACAACATCTTTGAGAACGGAGCCGACATGACCTTGTACTGGGTGAGAAGATCTGGCTGATAAACCTGTAAGGATTTGAATCGCTAATGGCAGATAATCAGGCCCATCATGAGAAATTCATCGTCATTGACTATTCGGTTGCCTTCATCGGAGGTATTGACCTCTGTTTCGGTCGATGGGACGCCCACCAACATCCTCTGGCCGACGTTCACCCCTCGAACCTCAAAGACGAGATCTTCCCCGGACAGGAGTTCAACAACAATCGGATCATGGATTTCCAGAGTGTGGGTGACTGGCAGTCCAACGAAGTCAGTAAAGCGGAGTACGGTCGGATGCCCTGGCACGACGTTGCCATGGGCCTGATGGGTGACTGTGTCTATGATATTGCCGAACACTTTGTGCTTCGATGGAATTTCATCAAGCGTGACAAGTACAAGCGAGACAACAGCGTCGACTGGCTTGTGCTTGAAGGTCGCACTGGCGAGGATGAAGACCTTGTTGCCGTTCAGCGTCCGAAATACCCATGCGGTGACTACGTGCAGCATCCTTTCCAGCCGCTCAGCTCGAAACCCCTAGGCAACCAGGGCACAGCACGCGCACAGATCATCCGCAGCAGTGCCGATTGGAGCAGCGGGATCTTGACCGAACACAGTATTCAGAATGCGTATAAGGAGGTCATCAGCAAGGCGGAGCACTTTGTCTACATTGAGAACCAGTTCTTCAGTAAGTTTTCCCCATCATGTGTACGCTTTATTTTCTGACTGTCCATAGTCACGGCGACTGGCGACCAACAAGCCCCTATTCTCAACACCATCGGACGCTCCATCGTTGATGCTTGCGTGAGAGCTGGCAAGGCCGGTCGGAAATTCCGGGTCATCATTGTCATCCCAGCCATCCCCGGGTTCGCGGGAGATCTCAGACAGAACGAAGCGACGGGTACTAGAGCTATCATGGACTACCAGTACAAGTCGATCAACCGCGGAGAACATTCTATCTTCGGCCAGATTTCCGCCCAAGGAGTTGATCCCAGAGGTAAGTCGCTCTTAACCTATTCTATTGATGGTGTACTAAGATGTTTAGAACACGTCTTCGTTTTCACCCTGCGTGCCTTTGATCGTATCAACAAAACCCCGGCGCTGGAGGAGCTGGAGAACCAGGCCGGCGTGACGTACAACGACATTCAGCGTGGTATTGCCGAGTCCATCATGAGTGACAGTGTCCACCCCGCCATTGGCAAAGACGGTGACAAGGGTGAAGTGGGCTATGATAATGACGAACAGGAGAAGGAGAAGCAAGAACGGATCGCCCGGCTGCGCAAGTACGAGGAGAAGAGCGAGCGCCAGAAAGAAGGCCACGGTTACGTCAGCAAAGACACCGTCTCGCACACGGTTATGCTCAACGGAGGCAAGATGTCTAACGAGCCCTGGGAGGGCGATGCCGAGGCCGAAAAAGAGAACTTTGTGCAAGAGGAACTCTATGTTCACGGCAAGGTCTGCATTGTCGATGACCGGATTGCTATTTGCGGTAGTGCGAACATCAATGATCGGGTAAGTCTCTCCCTCAAGGACAAATCGACGTAAACTAACATGCAACAGTCGCAATTGGGCTACCACGACAGCGAGCTGGCCATCGTTGTGGAAGACCAAGATTTCATTGACAGCACCATGGAGGGTCGACCTTACAAGGCTGCCCGCCTGGCTGCGACGCTGCGTCGTCAACTATGGAGGGAGCACATGGGCTTGCTTCCCGCACAAAACTACGACGCCTCTCAGCATCCCAATGCCCAGCCGCCCAACGCCTGTATGAACCAGATCTACGAGGGACCCGAAAACGATTTCGTCACGGATCCTCTAAGCGACGACGTGTGGAAGATGTGGACGGACCGGGCCACCGTCAACACCGAAATGTATCGCATGCTCTTCCGCGCCGATCCGGACGACAACATCAAGACCTTCGAAGAGTACGATAATTTCCGACCCAAGACTGGCAAGCAGGGTCACCTTTTCGACCCCTACCAGCCGGTCAAGGAAGTTCGCGAGAAGTTGGATAAAATCAAGGGCCACTTGGTCTGGATGCCTTTGGAATTCTTGCGGGATGCCGAGATGGCTGAGCCCGGACTGGCTGTAAATCAAATCACCGAGGTAAGTGTCTCTACTGATTCACATTGAATTTGGTGATACTAACTGGATGGCACAGAGTATCTACACCTGATTGTATTCAGTCTTGGACTATTACACTTACTTTTGGGACTATGATTGGAACGTTTTTTATTTCACATTTGTTGGCTTTTAACTACCAGTTGGGCAAATGATCGTCATTTGATCACTCAGCTTAATTTGCATAATCTGAATATAATGCCAATGCACAAAAACATCATGATTTGCCCGAGTGCCAACAACATTATCGATGTAGTCGATTCAAACCCTACTTTGGACCGTGCTCACATACCAACAGGACAGACAGCCAGCTTAAACGACAGATTGCTGCGCACAGTGCGGATTGGCGTGTTTATCGAGTTAGAATGAGATTTTTCGCCACAAACAACCAACCACTCTTCGCAACAGATTCTGGTTGTTACCTCCCAGGGCGATTGAGCTTTGGTCGATTGCGTTCCAGGCGATCAAACACAGACCGATTCAAGATGCCAATTAGCCGGCTCCTCATTCCGCTCTTGGTTCTCTTTTATGTTGGTAAAAAAAGTCCCGCATCCTTCAGATCATATATTGAAAGGGCTAGGTATCCCTTGATCCATATTAGGTGCTTACTCCAGATACATTGAGTCCCTGTAGGTCAGAGATGGCCTTGTTGACCGCAGCAAGAGATACGGAGGACTTAATCGATTTCCATGTCGAGCAATTCAGCAGATATTCTTTTTTCAATCCGTCAGCACCAGCTTCGTGACACTATGTTTGGTCTAGATCACCAAGACAACTAACTGGCTGAGTCGGTCGCCCAAATTCGGTCAAACCTTCATGAGAGTGCATGTGTTCCTCGCAATCCCGATGACCGGGGTGGTTCTAATGGCAATTAGTGCCGGTCTAGAATCTCGAGACAAAAGGACAGAGCATTCACCGGCCTACAGAAGTTGCTGTAGCGGTGTTCATTTTCCATTCCCCTGCTGGTCTGTGTGTTCACTTTTCAGCCCGTCGACTAGCGAAAGAGGGAGAGAGGTCAATACGAGCCGTCTAGCACAGTGGGGAGTGTCTTAGACGAGAACCACACCAGACCACATCTTTCAAGACACCACTGACTGAGACCCTGACTCGTATGTACAGTGACCAGAAATGACTTGTCCTCTCAGCTGTCCTCAGCTCTTCTCGCTTCCCTCAGTCTAATATCGAACATATACGGGGAACACCGTAGGTCCTTCCTAGATCCCGGTAGAGATCCCCGGCCAGATGAGTGGACAGGATTGCAAATATCGGAATGATCGAATCCAATTCACTGCAGCGATTATATTATCCGGCTCAGTCAAGACACAGGAACTCACACACGTCACCTAAATCGGGAATGTCCCTTCCTGTCCTTTTCTTTTCTTTTCTTTTTTTTTTTTGTTTTTCTTTCCCACTCTCCTCTTCCCTTTTCATTGAGTTTATGCAATACTCAGTATTGCTGGCATATTCATTTTGATGCAAACATTCACGCAGTGCAATCCTCCCTTCTTTGCCTATCGGCTGTTCTTGCTCTATTCATTTGCTTCTCTTCTCTTCTCTTCCACAGATACGGGGTGCTTATGAACTAACCCCGCCGTACTCCATCCAGG